AACAGACCCCCCATAGTTTCCTTGACTCCTGGGGATCTCCTGTTCCAGCAGAACAGACCCCCCATAGTTTCCTTGACTCCTGGGGATCTCATGTTCCAACACAACAGACCGCCCCATAGAGCTTCGTTGGCTGGGAGCTTTATGAAAGCAGATCCCTAGGCTTTCCTATGCAGGGCTCCTGTGCGGGTAAGTCCCACCTCCTTTCGTATGTCATCAAATGGTAACTGTGTGTGCCACCCAAGGGCCTTGCCTGGCATATAAAACAAAAAACACACAGAAAAACAAAACCAAACCCAACGCTTATCTCCCATTGTACCAGACGGGCTTCTTTATGGCCTGTAGTAGACCCTTTGTCAAAGAGGAAGGAACTGGAAAAATTTAAGTCAGGTTTTCCTCCCGATGCCTCATTTTTGGTCTTTGTTGGTTGATTGGTATTGGATCTGCAGGGGACAAATGGGAAGCATGACAAGGCTGAGAGGCATGTCCACTAGACAGACACACATTAGTCTAACTTTAGACAAACATGGACTGACACTGGCTGGATGAGAAAGAGGAGCCCGAGTGGGGACTAGCGGTCTGCTCTAACTTCCTGTCTCTATTACAAGTTCTTAGGTTAAGACAGGAGCGCTGTCTACCAGTTCATTGGCAGCAAAGACCTTTCAACATCCTAGAGACGTGACTGACAATTACAGTGACCCAAAGCACCCCAAATCAAACCTCAGGTCCACTCCTTGGTCAGATGTTTCTGGTCTTCTTGTCTCAGAGGCTGTCTTCAAGGCCTGGTGTAGGTGGGGCGGTTCGCTATTGCACGGACCTCGGAGCGGATGGACTGTTAGAAACTGGAAGTCCTTCTTCTCACATCTTGGAGCAGTCTGTGGCTAGCTGCCATCCTGCCACCCTTGGCTCCTGGTGGCCCTTGTACAATGGAATGAAGCTCTGCCTGCTCCTGCAGCGGCCCTGTGATCGGTTGCCGGCTGGGCCATTGTGATCTGTTCTCACTGGCAGATTCTCAGAAGGATAGGATCGTCCTCGTTTGTCTTAGTCTGAAAGTGCTGCTGAAATCTGCTCAGCAACACAAAAGCCCCCATCGACAGACAGGTGTGTCTTTGCAGGGGTGCACTGACCGAGAAAACTGCACCTGAGACGTCTGCCGGGAAGGCGAGACGTCTGCCATTTAACCGTCGCCATCCCCTAGGATTGGTCTAATGGGCTGCTGATCAAGTGGTTGGCTCTTTAAAAGCACTATGCTTTTCTCAGGAGCCCTGGAGGCACTAGTGGTTACGCGCTGGGCTGCTAACTGCAAGGTCAGCCGCTCCGAGGAAGAAACACAGGGCCTTCCACTTCCATACACAGTGACAGTGCAAGAAACACATGGGGCAGTTCTAGCCTGTCCTAGGGCTCACCACGACTCAGCACTGACTCAATGGCAGTGCGTTTTGAGTTATGCTTCGATGAGCGGGCTGTGAGGACACACATAGCCTTCTGAGCTGATGGCCTCTGGGAAATGCTAACCACGTTGGCCAGTATTCAGCTCTCCAGCCTTCAAGAGTGAATGGTGCCACTTGGATTTGGGAACAAGTCATGTGGCCCCTTGACTCCGGTGCTCACAAAGTTGCCCCCCAGGAAAACATGCCCCCTGAAGTCTTTAAGTCGTCTAAGGTAGAGGGGGGCCACAGATGGCTTTCTCACTGCCCGACACGGACAACATTCCCTAATGAGCAGCAGCTTAGCACCCGGAAGCCAAGGCCTTCCTTGGGTTTGACAGGTTTAAGCAAAGAGTGAACCATTAGTAGGGGCAGGAAAGAGCCACGGCACCCAGGAAGGCTCAGTGTGTGACAAAAGCTTTCTCCACACCAACGCTCTCCCTCCCGCTGGGTCAGCTGGCCTCACCCACCTTTCCTTGGGCCACCAGCTCCCGCTGGGCTGCCGAGGCCGATTTGACCAGGGCGCTCGTGGCAGCAGCAATGGATTTAGCGGCTTCCAAGATCTGCTCTTCAAAATCCAGGGTCTCATCCGCTTGCTATAATCAAAAGAAAACACCGTCAGGTACAATCCATATCCGACAAGGGCACTTACTGCTGGGCCCGCTGGCTCCTCCCACCTCTGCCGGTGGGTTTCTATTGCCAATCATACCCAGCGTGGAGATGCCTCAGCTGCTTGGGGGCCTCTCCCCTCCCCAGGCTACAAGGTAAAAACTATAAGCACTGACATGCTGTGCAGATTTTAAAGCAGGAAATCCGGAAAGGCAGACTTCTAAAACTATTTTTGTGGACCAGCATCCTTAAGCAGACATAAAGCCTCTACAGGTGAAATCTGACCAACTGGTTGCATCAGCATCAACTGACAAATAACCAAACAACAAACAAACAAACAGCCACACCAAAATCTAATCAAAACCAATGAAGTAGGTGCGTGGGGGGACAGGGGGATGGGGTGGGGAGGCTTAATATTCCGGAGTGGAAAGCTCAGACCTGGTTTGCAAAGAGGCGACGATGGCTATTGGCTGTGAAATGTCCTGTTTTTCTTGGGGAGCACAAAAGCAGGACTGCATCTGTGCTTCTGTGGGCGAGCAAGCCGAGAGTCACATACCAGCCACAGATCACCCCGTGGTGGACGAGAGATGAGGGCCGCCTGCCATCAAGTAGGGCCCACTCCATCACCTGGACTACGGAGGCCTGGCTCCCCCTTGGGAAGACCATTGCACCCCACTATGCAGGGGCCGGAAGGCCCTGGGGGCTCTGGTCCAATTCACCACCACCTTGACCTCTGTCCAAAATAACCCAGGAAGTGGGAGAGAAACTTTGGGGTCGTGAGTCCCCAGGCGGCTGGGGAGACCATCATACTTTGGGGTAGACAATCCCTAAGGGCCAACCTCCTATCCCACTAAACCAATTTGGTTCGGCTCCACGTTTGGGAAGCAGCTGACACTTTGTAGGTATTAAAAGGCACAGCAATACCTTTTAAGAGTGCCTGTTAGGTTGCCAGGTTGCTAAGCATTTTCAGTAGACACGCCAAAAAAGAGGGAAATCCTATAGTTATCATTATTCTTAGTCTCTCCGTGAGAAGACTCAGTCTTAGGGAGGTACGCGATTGGACCCCACGGTCTTGAGGCAGCTTGACGCCAAATGACCATCTAAACCCGAATCCCTTTGACTCTTGTGCTTTCGAGCCCGGCCGGCCCGTGAGGCCTTCGGGAGGACGGGGTCAGCTGGGTGAGCCGGTGTTGGCCGCTCAGTGCTGCTTGGCTAGCAGGCCAACAGCCTGTTATGGTCAAACATAAGCTGGAACACATGCTCTTCCAGTTCCCTGTTCTGAGCAGACACATTTTGAACCATGGCCAAGGCCAATCTCATTTCTGACAACCCACATTAGCCCCTAATAAAACAATTAAAAACAAAAATGTCAGTGCACATCTAGCGGGTCTGCGGGACGGCGAAGGCAGGTGAGAGGTTTCTGAGAAAAGCCGTCCCCTTTCCTTCCCTCTGGCCGCGTCTTGCTCCAGGAGCATCTGCAGCAGAATTGTCACAGAACTGGACTCTGTCCCATTAGACTGATTTTAGAGTCCTTTGTTACTGAGGGGAGAGGGTGTTGGTAGAAAGCGAATGTCTACCGGGAGACAAAAAACCCAACTCATCAGAAGACAGTGGCATAAACGGTCCTCATCCACAGACATCACATCAGGCACTGTCGTAAATGCCATGACCTTGGGACTCAGGACATTTCTGGAAATTCATGCTGCCAAAGAAAGGCCAGCGCTTCACAGTGAAGGCTCTGGGGAAAGACACGCTGCCGCAGCCGGGCCTAGAAGCTGCCCTGCTCCGGCAGACAAGGAACCGGCCGGAAGCCCGTCCATCGCGGCTCCTCAAACTCGCCCAACCTTTCTGTCAGGTGGCCTCACGACGCTCAGGACTCCACGTCTGAATCCACTGTACGGGTGTGGCGCCCAGTGGTGCCACCAGATTTCCGATTTGCCACATTTTAAAATTCACCAACTCATGGAGATTCCCTGAAAACGAAAAGCTCACTCCTAGCATGGAGAGATCTGAAAAAAGTCATCTTGGTCAACAATGGGTTCAAAGGGCCTCTCCCACATCTTCCGCTGGCTTGGAACTTTGGGGGAAGATGGGGGGGGGCCCCCCCGCATAAGATACATGCTTGAAATATTCAACTTGGAAATAGTTCTGACCCCCGTCTTCTCCCCGGGGCCAGTGCTGCAGTGCTGTGACCCACACTTCTTTCCTGTCAAACAGACCCAGAGAGGAGTCCCGTCTCCGGGAGCTGTGTGCTCCGATCAGAGAGCCATTGGCGAGTTTCCCGAGAAAGACACTGAGCAGGGGCCGGCATGCGAGTGGCAATGGGGTTAGGAGATGAGGAGAAGGGTTCAGGTGCTGTGGTCAGCACAGGGTCCCACGATGAGACCCACCCCTGTTGGCTAGACCCAGTGGTGGGCAAAAGTGGTCTCCCATAGTTTTCTGTATGCCCACCCACCCTCTCTCTCTTGCCCAAGGCAGATGTTAACACTCAAATGGAGCTTCTCATTCAAGGGCCAATGAGATTCGCACCATTAGCACCCTCTCTCTACCTGATACAAAAAGGAGCTGAACAGAATCGCTGGGTTTTCCCATAGTGGGCGCGGTTCATGGAGCCATCTCCACTGTGGCCGGGAGGTGGCAGCAACCGGGAGCAGGGGAGTCTGGACACCAGGATGCCAGCAGCCTCATAGATCAAGTCCCTCCCATGGGGCTCACATTTCATTTGCTCCCCAGAGAGGGGGAGTTGGCTGGTACCTAAGCTCCTCTTTGAGAGGACCCTGGTTTCTCAGATCTGCACCCTTGGCTAGATCCTCAGTCCTGGAACTCCCCCGTCCATGTCCCCAGCAAGTTCTTCTTCTTTTTTAGCAGTTATTTTTTATTTTATTTTTCAATCATTTTATTAAGGGCTCATACAACTCTTATCACAATCCATACATACATCGATTGTGTAAAGCGCAGTTGTACATTCATTGCCCTCATCATTCTCAAAACATTTCCTCTCCACTTAAGCCCCCGGCATTAGGTCCTCATTTTTCCTCTCCCCCCTCTCTCATGAGCCCTTGATAATTTATAACTTGTTTTTTGGTCATATCTTGCCCTGTCTGATGTCTCCCTTCACCCAC